CGCACTAACTTTATTGAAATAGAATAATGCGCGACGCCTTTTTCCTGCATCTCCAAGAGACGCAAAAGCGAGTGTCTGTTATTAGCTCTACTGAATGTAACATGCTTATCAATGTTTTCTTCAACCCACCAAAAATAATAATAAAATATATAGGCCTATATATTGTTTTTAAAATCAGGCACAGAGTACTCATTCTCTCCCAATTTAAATATTTTCAGAGCATAATCTCGCTCACAGTGTATTCTAAAGAAACTGTGATGCCCTTTTCATCTCTGTTTACCACAGCCTCAACATACAACTCACACCGTGCAGTCGTTAATATTACAGCCTATGAACATCTTAAATCCCCCCAAATCCTTCGAAATATATTAGTCGTTATCTCTTTATAAAGTTATATGACTTTTTCTCGAACACAGCTTTTATCTTTAAATACTTTCAACCCTGCTCATTTCCTCTGTTTCCTTTTGTGCTTTGTCTGGCATTGCGTGCGCTCGTGCATTCTCACGCGCGCCCGCCTGCGCGTGCGCGCGCTGCAGGGAATAACTTGTAATTCAATTTGAAAACATTAAAATAAATGTTTCTGACAACTCGTGCACGTGCGTCTTGCTTGCGACAGTCCCCTCCGTCTCCCCCCACCATCTCTTCAAGGAGCGATTATATGGGGCTTGGCCCTCCGTCTGAATGCGCTGTTTTTGTTTCTGGCAGCTCTGGTGATGGTCAACCACTTCCACGCGCCCTCGCATCCACGTAGCACTTTGCATTTCAAGCCACTCTGGCTTTCTTTGTCACATCCACGGGCTGTCATAGCCACAGGTTGCGTTGAATTTGCAATGCCACTCATCGATGCATGCCTATTGAGGCTGGCACGTGGACAGTTATCCTTCCCACTGAGAGGCGCAATTGAATGCTGGCAACACAAAAGCCCCAGACCCTGTCAGCCTCCCCCCTCCACACACACACACACACACACTCCCTCTTCTCTTTTCACTCAAGCATAGGCCCTAAAAGCATGAAGGCCTCCGTCTGGCAGCTCCCTTTTTTGATTTAGCCCGCACCGTGCTCAATATGGCCACTGATGGAGTAATGTCAATCAGGCCTTTGCATTAATTTGTAAACTGAAGTTGGCATTGTTGCAGGGCTTTGAGCGAGCGACTGGCTGAAAGCTGCCTCCATGCAAGCCTCAAATTACACCAGACTCTTTTATTATCTGGTAGCCCCCTTTAACTCCTCTAGCTCGCTATTTTCGACCTATTCATTTTTACAATCTCCTTCTTCCCGAGAGAGCAGATGCGTCGCCAATCCTCGAGATTCCTGCAGTCTGCCTCTCACACATGCAGCGATTGGGAGGAGAATAAAAAAAAATGCAAACAGTTTGAGCGATTTATTTATTTAGTTTTATTTCTGAGGAGGTGTGTGTGTGAGGGGGTCGGGGGGGGGGGTATTCTATACTGCAGATTCTGCATTGGTTAAAAACAGGTATCAGTGGCTGTCGCTGCTTGTGGACTGCCGAGGAAATGCCGCGTTACAGCACAACCATGTATTTTAGCAGCAGGGAGAGAGAGAGAGGAGAGGACAGTGAGGGAGGAAGGGTGAGGGAAAAAGGGAGAGTGTGATGGAAAAAGGTGGAGTAGAGGGTGGATGGGGGAGGGGGGTGTAGGGTCCTTACCATATAGGCTACAATGTAAGAAGTTTGAGTCTCTTCAAAGGAATATATGCTATTGGATCTGTAGAAACGCCGCATCCCGGGAGGGTAGGGGGTTTCATAACCTCTCTAACCTTTAAGTCAAAGGGCCTTGGAGAACATAAAATATAGTCTATTTATTTCATCAGCCGTCCTTCTCAAGCAGAACATCACGGAGGTCTTCAACCGGTGCAGCCTTAAAATAAAAACACACCGGAAAGAATATCTATCCAGCACAAATATGAAGCACAAGCACACACACACACACACACGCACACGCACACACACACCACACACACACACACACACACACACACACACACACACACACACACACACACACACACACACACACACACACACACACACACACACACACACACACACACACACACACACACACACACACACCTATACACACTCACACACATCAGGTATTTTTCTTAATCCAGTTAGGATTTCTTAAACAGTGCGAGTTTTCAGGTTCGTTCTCAGGCAATGGTCTCGATACGACAATGTATTTCTTTTATCTATTAACTCTGCATCGGAATTTAGCACGTTGACGTCGTGGACCAACAAATCCGTATTGTTTCAATCAGCAGAAGGCGTTCTGTGAAAGCTGCTGCCTGTGTTCGCAGTAACTTGGGCTCAGCACAGAGAGCTGTTTGCACAGAAAGTCTGTCTGCAGAAATGAGACAGACAGGGGTTGTCCACCTTCTCAAACAACCAACAAAAAAATCCTGATAAAAAGTGCAATGAGAAAGTCAAGTGTTTTTTTTTTTTTTTCTTTGTTTGTTTTTTCCCACTACAATATCCATCTGGGTATGGGGGGGGGGAACCTTATTTTGCGAGAAAAAACAAGTTCAGTTTGCTAAAGTTCTGATCTCCTTATAATGAGATATCAGAGTGATAATGTGGACACTAACACTCTTCTATAGAAATATCAAAACCATACAGCCAGAACCTCAAGAGACGTCCTGATCAGTCTGAGTCACGCATATTTTTATTTTTTTTTTGTTTCACATTTATTATTGTTATTTACGTGAACCCACACGTATTGACAACGTGTTCCCACAAGTTTGGTAAGAGATGTCACAATGGCATGCTGGTTCATCACACCTACACTCACAAGTCTTTCTTTCACTGGTGTGCTTGGTAAGAACAAATCTATTCATATTTTGCAAATATTTCTATGCGCATCTTCTTAATTTTGATTTGAAACATGAACACGTGTATGAAAAAAAAAAATGCACTGAAGCCTAAGCAGGTATTTCTGAGACGAGCTGAAGTTGCAGACATACTGTACAAAAGCAAGCAGCTCTGGTGATTTTTTGTTTCATTTTATTTTTTCCACTTTTTGAATGAACGCAAATATTCCAAGTTGTGCTCTATTCCGTCAGATCTGTGAGATATTTTCTTTATTGAAGTGTGTTGGGAAGCAACAAAAACCCGCGTGTATCGTGAGCTGGTAGTAAAAGGTAAATCATAGACGCTTTCATCATCCCTTTAAAAATGTATCTAATTCTTCATTTTAAAGGCAGAATTTTATTATTTTAACAAATACGATAGGAGCTCGGATCTTAGCATTTTATAGTTCAAAATCAATAAAACCTATAACTTAACGTCTAATAATTAAAGGCACTCTTTGGTCTGAGTTGTGTTTCTTGTTCTTTATTATAACCTCTTGTTCTGAGCATAAGAAGAAAAAAAATATATGTAGGCCTATATATATATATATATATTTAGACATTTTCCCACTGAATCACCCAAGTTGAACTACGTGAACTTTATCAAAGTCAAAACACCGAAGCTGCGCCATCAGGACAACTTCATATTAATTTTCTGCTCCCGAACTGCGGTATTTACTCTTAATGCGTAAAATATATATTCACCGGTCCAAATACACAGTTAGCTGTGATAATATGCAGGTGCCACTGTATTTACGATAAGCTCTGGTCTTTGCAGATTACAACAGCAGCCCTTGCGCCGTGCCAGCTCATGTGTTGCTGCTACTGTACAGTTCTGCGTAAAGGAAGCGCTTTAAACAAGCTTCTATTGTCGCAAAAAAAAAAGAAAAAAAAAGTTTTTACTTTATTTGCTTATAATCGGTCATTTAATGTGGCTGCGTGTGGCACAGATTGCCGGGCGTTTCGTCGCTTCCGTTTCGCTCCCGTCAGAAAGTCAAAGTTATGATTTTTAATAAGTTGTCAAAGCGATCGCAGAACTCGTCAGAAACGCAGCCCTGGCTCCACTTTTGAAGCGGCTAAAATGCACGCCGGTTCGTCTAAATGGTTGGAGTAAAATAAAGCGGAGTCGCTTTTGTGCTGAAACTGCATATATTATATTTAGTTTAAAAAAGAAAAAAGCAAAAACAAAAACGCTTTTTTTTAAGTGAAGTTGGGGGGGTGAAAGCGGTGGAAAAACGTGCGCCAGTGCCGTCGGTGTTCGCCCGCTGAGGCTGCCCGCTCCCGCATTAACTTTCACTGTCTTCCGTCTAATCAAACTCTTACTTTCCGCTGTTCGTAATTCCATATTTTCAATTCCTGATCATTACTTTCCTCTTTTTTTTCCTACTTGTATCTATCCATCCCTCCCTCCCTCCTCTATCTCCCTCCCTCCCTCGCTCTCTCTCCGGAGCCTCTCTCCTTTGCTGAATCTTATTGATCCAGAAGGCGGCTAATTAGCCCTTCCCTTCGTGCCTGTGTAATGAAGCACATGCGCACTGAATTAATCACAGCCATTTTTTGCAGGAAACTAATTAGCAGGAATAAAGATCCAAAGAGTTTTTTCTTTTCAATCATCAGATCTCACTTTCACCTCTTCCTCGCTCCCTCTAACACAAGACTCATCGCCTGCTTTGCATCCAAATTATTTTTATATCGCCTTTAACAACTAATAGTAGCCTACCTACTTCGGTTTTTTTTACACTCCGCAACAACAATGATCTTTCTTTTGCCACCCTAAGCGCAAACTGACCAAAAGGAGACTGCCTTGATGGGATCTTTAGCTAAATCGTCTCAATACTGGATTAAAAAGCGAGGATCACAAAGCGGCAGCGAGAAATTGTAAGTTTCAACTTTGCGTTTATCTCTTTTTTCCCCCTCTCTTGTTTCCACGATCCTATTCTCTTCGCTGTGTGACTTATCTGAGCCACTCTGTCTGTTCGTGGGGTTTACCGTCTGGCGGACCCGGCTATATTCTCGCTTTTCGAGCGATGACCGGCGATCACAAGTTCATTTTCATGCAAGATACTTTGCTTTTATTCTCGATCTCCTCTTTTTTTTCTTTTTTTTTCTCTCTCAATCATTCGTATCGTTACCTGTGTTTACACGAGCGGTCCGTCCTCTCCTCCTCTCATGAATGGAAGATAAGAAACGGGCAAGACAGCGATCCACTCCAGAGCAGTTGATCGTAGAAAAACACGGTTTTAAAAACAGATTCGTGTTTTTGTTTTCTGCGCTGGGATCGGGGAAATGGGCATGGAAGGCTAATGGTTGTTAAGAGACGTGTTTTAGAGCACAAATGCAACAAGGAGGTGGTGGTGGTGGGGTGGGAGAGAGCTGTGCAGAGCGGACGAGGGGCAGCGGCAGCTCCACATGAGCGCAGCCCAGGGAAGGAGCTCCAAGTCCAGCCTGTGGGTCCGTGGGCGTCCGGGAAAGCAGGGGGTGGGGGGGGAAGCTTCTCTCGCTTTCTGCTCTGTTTTTCTGACCAGATTTGACACCTTCCACATCCAGAGAGTTTCGCCACCGTCGATTTCTAATAAAATCCTCTTCTGGTTGAGGACAGTTTTGTTCTTCTCCGACAACGTCTCTTGTGTGAAATGTGCAATCCCTCCGCCCAGCCTCAGCTCCGTCAGCGGCACACTTTTTCCCCCTCAAACACTTTCTCCGTGTTTTAGCCCCCTTTTTTTTTTATTATTTTACAACAGCTGTTTGCCTCCTTTCGGTGATGTTTTTCACTGGATTCTCGCTCATTCACTGACGAAGTCACATGCAGATCGATTGACAAGCGTGTGTGTGCGTGCGTACGCGCGCGCGTGTGCGTGCGTGCATCTGGGGGGCTCGGCGTTGAGTTGAATGTGGTGTCGGTGCTGTTGATGGGGTTGAGAGGAAAAAAAAAAAAAAAACGGAGCACCGGGTCTCCTGCGTGACAAGAGCGGATCAGCAGGACCCCGCACACGGACAGGCTGCGAGTGGGAGCTGCGTGACGAGGGGATCAGACATGTGGGTTCAGGGAAGAGACAGGGAGGCTGGCTCTGCTGCCTCGAACTACACTCGGCTACCGACTCTGACTTTCAAGGGAATATTTCTTTCTCGTGAAGAGAAAACGCAATACTGCCCTATACATCTGATCTTAGGATGTCAGGATTAATGCAAAGTAACCATCGGGAACTTTAGATGGCGGTCCAAGCTGCATCCGCGGGTCGCTTTTAGTTACAGCATCAGTTTATGTAAAAAAAAAAAAATAATAACAATGAAAATCAAAATAGAATAAAACACCAAAATACGCAAAATCAGAACAAATGCAATAGGGGAAAAAAACTGGCTGCAGTGGGAAAGAGGCCTTTTTTTGACAATAACCTCACACAATAATAAAAAAAAAAATAAGTAATTAAAATGCAAAAATTGGCATAAACGTAATATAAAAACATTGCTTTCGGAAAGGAGGGTTCAAAGTACAGTCAGATGAAAAAAAAAAGTAGAACGATGATTATTCTTTTTTTTCCATTCCAGAGAAAAACAAGTAAAAAAGGAAACCTTTTTTTTTTTCTTTTCTTGCATGAACAGAGACAGTGGTAGGATATCTGTACTGTTGGGGTAAAAGCTGAAGGCTGAGGGGAGTGAGGTGGTGGTGGTGGGGTGGCAGTTGTGAGTGTGTTTGCGGGGAGTGCAAGGGGTGTGGATGTGGGGGTGGGGGGTTAGGTCAGACAGCAAGAAACAGGGGGACAGGGGTCATAGAGTGAGTACAGAGATAAAAAAGAAAGAGAGGAAACCCCCTCGCAAACAGCCAAGAGGATAATGGGGAGAGAGTTGGGTCTGGCTGGGAGAAAAAGGCTGATCTGAGTTGTTGGTGGGGCGTTTGTATTTTTTATTATTATTATTATTTTTATTTTTCAGAGCAAGTAGAAATCAAATGACAAAGGGGGTTCACTATTGTCAGCATCTGTGGGATTACGGATTTATTTATTGACGAAAGAATCAGAAATGGTGCCGGCTTTGATAAAAATTAATCACCAAGCTGGGAGAGAAACTCCATCTACAAATGAAGAGGTGGGGAGGGCTGTTAGGGTGGGAGAGCAGAGAGGTCAGATAGCCATGGGCCATGGAGGAAGAGGTCAGGTAAATAGATCCCTGCTTTTCATACAGGAAAAAGGAGTAAGAGGGAAGCAAAATTCTGGCTCTCTTAAGAAATAAGAGAAAATGACTTTTCAGAATTTGGTTCTGCCTTCTTTGGATTTTCTGACACTGGCTTTTTCATTACATCTTCATTTGCCTGCAGTGGGAACTTCAGATTGCCACGATCAGAAACTTATAGATGCTCCGTAGGACAGGAATGCTGCTTCACCCCCCCCCCCCCAAAAAAAAAAAACAAAAAACAAAAAAAGACAAACCACCAATAATCTCCCTTCCTGCACTGTTTGACAGGATAGCACTCCTCTCCTCCTCCTCCTCCCCATCTTCCTCCTTCTTCTCTCCCTCCTCTGTTACAAAACAAAGACAGCAGAAAATGTTTACTGTCATTGCACCTGCCTGTTTTTTTTTTTTTTTTTCCTGTCTTGCCACATTCTCATATTTATGTTTAATTATAACAGTTCCAGGAAAAGGTGTGGAAATGTCATGGGCTTTATTTTTTTCCATGTACTCTCTTTTCACAAAATGCATCCATGTGTTCTGTTTGGTGTTGGTGGCAGCAGTTCCAGAATCCTTAGCTCTGAATTATTTTCACTGAATTCCAATTAGACAGTGATGGTTCTCAAAGAGGCATTTGAAAAAAAAATGTCCAAAATAAGTTTGTTTTTTAAAGTTCACTTGTCAGTCTTTTATTTGTTATAGTCAAATTTTATTTAAATGCAATTTAGCAACGTTCTGGTGCATTTTAATCTGAGGGGGGAATGAAATTACTTCTCGTTCATGCTTCCCTCCATTTTGGTTAATTTTGTCGTTGCATGTTTTAATTATTTATTCTTTTTTTTTTTTACATACGTCCATGTAGCTCACATTTTTTGAAGAAGCAGAAAAAAGTGCATGTGACATTAGTCATTTTTACTTAAAAGACGAGAGGAGCTTTGTTTGCAGCTCTTCTGCATTTAGTACTTGCGTTAAAGTGCAGATGTGAGGTGTTGTAGCTGCTTTTCGTGGGGAGAGGAACGTGGTTGTTGTGTTGAAACGTCAGTGCCTATTGATTCGGCATTGTCCACCGTTTGCATTTGACCCACGTCTGTAGCAACATTTGATGCGAGGCATATTTAGAAAATTCAGATGCCATTTAACTGTCTGAGTGGGAACAGAGCGTCCAGCAGTTGGGTAAATGAGATAAAGGGGGGAGCCGCAGTCGTCACGGATTGGCTTGCTTTTTGGTTTGGCGTGAGACAGAGGAGAGCTGGAGGGGGGGTAACACAGAGAAAGGAGAGACAGCGCCTCTGGCTGTCATAACCCCTTCGCGTCCACACACACACCCACACACACACACACACACACAGACACACACACACACACACACCTACACACACACATCAGTGCGCCTCGTTCTTCCTATCTCATTCTCGGCATCTCTGCATATTTCTCCTTCCTCGACTCCCACCTCTTCGTGTTCGAGGAGGTGGGAAATCGGTACCACGTCTTCGGTCGGAGGGAGCCCTCTTTGGGTGAGGAGCTGGCTGGGAGCATACGTGGAATATTCAGCAAAGAAGCAGTGAGAACTGCATGTAGATATGTATGCACAAAGAGGAGAAGTAAAGAGTGTGTGTGTTTTCTTATTCATTAACACAATTGTTTTAATTTCCCATTTTGTTTTCTTATTTATTTCCAATATCCAAATAAATTGCAGGTCGTTTCCAATTAGTTCCCCTCTTCCGAGACACAGCATCATAAAATGCCTCTAATTGTGTCGAGTGCGTATTCTCTGAAACCCAAAAGCCAGAGCAGGCGTCTTTTCTCCACCATTAGCCGTATGGATGTTTAGATGAGTGCGACTGACAGACACAGATGATGGGCTTTTCATCTGATGTATGCTTTTCAATACGACCGACTCTTCCAGTCATGCTGCATCTGAGTCCGGCAAATACTCGTCACGGCTGTCAGAACGGGGTTCAAGCTGCTCGGGGGCGGGGTTGTGCCGGTGGGCCCGGCTCAACACTGTGAGTGGGATGGATGCGATGGTCAGGTGTGTTTATGTAGGCATGCTTACAGTGTGAATGAATCCTCCACCTCATCCTTAATCCCAGCAATCCAGAGTGTCCTCTTCATCGGCAGAGAGCCCCCTGTCCTCTGCTTGTCTCTAAAATTCCCTCCTCCATGTTTCCTTTAGAGTTTGCCTCTTTTTTTTTTAATTCCTCCTCACTGTCGACTGTCTTTTATCTTTCTGAAGTGAAGTTGGCGGGGTTTCTTGTGGTTTGCTCTTTCACAACATGTTATCGTGTTAACAATCTTGGTTAAATCATTGTGGTAGACAAGATTTATGACTGAGAACATCCACATGTGTCACAGCTTGCGTGCGCAAGCGCACACGCGTGTGTATCTGTGCAGCAGCAACGTCCGGATTTATTTGTATGCCGACATTGTAAATAAATCAGTTTTCTTTTAAGTGTGCTATGTCAAGGTCTTCTCATGGCATTGTTGTGGTTTTAATCAGTATTTTGGCAAGCTTACAGGAAAAAGCTGAATTTAGGTGTCATGCAGCAACCACATTCTGATTGTCTACTAGTCGTAATGTGAAAAATAGGTGAAGCTTAAAAGCAAAAAAATGCTTTCTTTTTTTTCCACCCTTCACTCGTGGATACTGTCGAGGTGACAGAATGGGGTTGAACAATGTGTGAAATATTTATTTAAAAAATAAAATTCTATTTCTTTTCTAACAATAAATTAAAGCTGTTGCATTGAGAGAAAACGCATTATAATATGCTCTTGTGTCCTTGAGTTGAATGTTACTTCTGGAGTAGATTTATTAGTATGGTTGCAAATCAAGCTTCTTAGACAGTTCTGTTAGAAGTGTTACGAACTCTGTTTTTTGTTTTGTTTGTTTTTTTTCTGTTTTGCTTTATTGACTGTGAGTCAAATTCCTGTGTGATGCAAGTCCATCCATGACTGGCAGCGTTCTCAAGGTGTGTGTGAGTGTGTGTGTGTTGTGGTAGAGCAGTGTGCTGACTCTATCCTGTTTGAAGCAGCAGGAGCAGCGGTTAGCTCTCGTGCTCAGAGATGTGTCTGCGGAAGCTGCATATGCCAGTTTGCCGGTCAGGCAGAGATGACAGCAAAAGCTCTGAGGGCTGCAAAATTAAAACGGAGCTGCATCCCGGCCACCTCCCACCCTCTGCCCCCATGCTGCTCCTCATAAGCCCACCCTTCTTTTTGGACCCTGGAGGCCAACATTCCACCCTCTGCGCTGGTGCTTATCATCACAAAGGACAGAATGCATAAAACATGGAGGACGCTTAGACAGAGGCTGCCCAGGTCGCCTCTTTCTCCCTACGCCGAGCCGCGGAACAATGTGCGGGCCCCTCTGGCCTGTGACTCTGACGACACACACGCCATCTTTTTTGTCCTCCCCCTGTTTCTTTGTCATGCTCTTCCTCTTCCTCTGTGTTACTGTGCTCTGTGGAGTGATAACTGCCCTTGCATTGTTTATCTGTGTCTGTGAAATCTCCATTGTGTAACCCAAATGTAAGTGTGTGCGAGCGCGCGCACGGCTGTTTGAGAGAGTGACAGCTTTAACAAATTGACACTGCCACAGCTGCATTGCTCTTGCTTTCATGCTTCGTATTATCTGTTGCTTTATGAATTAAAATAATAATAATAATTTGGATTTTTATATTTTGAGAAAAACAGTATTTTTCATACGTGAGACAAAAATTTGACTTACTTTATAAACCTTTGTAAACCTGTAAGAAATAAGATATGTTTTGAAGAAGATGGGCCATTGCAGTCAGATTCCTCATGTTTTTTAGATAACCTCTATTATATTTTGGCGGGTCACTCAGTGTTGCAACGTCATGGTTTGTGTGCATGTGTGTGCATTTACAATTAGATTTTGACTGTTCCAAAAATTATTAAAAGTAGTAATAACAATATCTTACTTGCAGTATTTATATAACTGTTCTGTCACAACCTGTGGGTGCTTATTATTTTCAATGAGGCAGATAGACAAATAGATTGTATTATTTCATGTTGGGTGGGTTATCATTTTGTTTTGTGTGTTTTGCAAAATCCAGGCCAGAGTTCAGTTTTTGACTTCACATTTACGAATCTAAACTTGCCTAAGCAATTTTGGTTGGAATTGCTTCAGTTTTTCCAGTCCCCGTGTGTCTGATAAGCCACGGCTGCAGGAATGCACTGCTGGGATGTGCTGGACCCCAGCAGGTCTGTGGCACTTCCTCTCTGTGTACCTCACAGCTTATCCTCCCCAGGATTATAGAAAGAAGAAAAGAAAAGGGCGATGGCAGGAGCACTCCTTCTCCCTCTCACACACCCTCTTTCCCATTTTTTTTTCTTAAACACACGCACAAAAATCTTAACAAAAAAATTAATTCACTTGCAAATGTGTAGTTCCCTGTTTGAGGAGAGAAAAGGAGACTGGGAGGGGCATGTATGGAGAGATGAGGAGAAGAAGGCTGTGATGTGCTTTGGTATGAAGCTGAGGTTCAGTCACTGTCTCTGGGTGGCCACAAAAACAAACTGACCTCTACCAAATATTTATAGATTATCTTAGGAGTTTTGTTAAATATATATTTTAATTTTGTAAAGTAAATAAATAAATAAATCTAACTAGTCGTAGTTATGTGCACTTTGGAGCTGCTGTAACAAGGCAGATTGTGCAGGATCTGGCTGTCGCTCCTCTATCTTCCCCTGAGGCATCTGATGCTGTTGGCTCAGTGTCGTAGGCCACTGATCTGCCAGTAGTGAAGGGGTTAAGAAGCAAGGATAGCCCTCTTTTGTCTCTGCGGCCCTCTTTGCCATTGTTGTGGTGGAATTGAGCTCGGTGCACCTCACTTGACCACAGCAAAGCAATAAAATGGCCTCTAAGTGCTGCAGCCTCCATAGTCCTCTGAAGTGTGCTCTCTTTCAGCTTCTGCTTCTTTATTTCTTCTCTTTTCCTGCATCACTGTGCAATGTGTATGCGCTGCATGCCTATATATACTGTACATCCTTGTGTTCGCTATTATACGTAGTTATTACTCATGCAAGGCTAGTCCGCGTGAGAATAGGCTCATCCTTTTTGAGACGTGCACACATCTGAACAGCGTTTTAGTTCATTTTATTTGCTTTTGTAGCAAACACAGAATGCACATAATAAGAGAAGATTATACCAGGTTGTATTAGAAGATAGATGCGATGGTTCTGTTAGCACCTGCAGTCTTGGGGGAGAAAAAAAA